GGGGGGGAGTCACTTCATGAATTAAATACATTCCATAGATTGTACTTTTTTGTGGCCGAAAACTGTACGCACCCAAGCCTCCCTCCTTCCCCACACTGCCAGCCCAGCCTCTCCCTTCGCAACGGCCATGAGTCTTAAACATCATTTGAAAGGTTAAAGAAAACAATCACTTGCAGCGTTGGCATATCAGTTTGATAGCGTTTGCTTAATGGTAYGAGTTAAAACCATTTTCGTAGAGGGCGCAACTTTATTCTTTGCAGCCCTTACAAGTATCTATCCTACAGCGTTCAAAAATTGGTAGTAGCTTTGCTTCAAAAAGAACTATCCAGCGACGAACCAAAGTGTTACAAGAATGTCGAGAAACAGTAAGTGGAGGAGGTTCTGAAAATGTCTTTAAACAGCAACAAAAAGAAATCCAGATGTTGGAAAAGGAAAAGCGCCAGCAACTTTTACGTGATGCTGGGATAAAGCTTGAGGTTGGGGCTGACGATGGTCTTGCCATGAAGAGTGACTTAGGAATACCCTGGAACAAATTAAGAAGTATAAGAAGGTTTGCATCAATAATGATAATTGAATTAGCATTTGCACTATTTAAGCTGTGCACTTTAGTGCTTGCACTCTTAGTAGTGTTTACTTRGTTTGATGAACCACAAACTTTTACACAATCATGTTAAGCAATATGAACAACAACTTCTACTCCAGGGGGCTTTCCTCATGGGGGGTTCAAATGGCAAGTGAGAAAAAACAAAGGGAAGTTGCAGATAAACAGGYAATTGGTTATTTTTTTTCATGCATTTAAAAGCTTGGGAAACTGAGAAGAGTTAAGAGTTTGATCTAGTCGGTATTTTCTTTCGAACAGAAACTAGGAGAGATTCTATCAGAAGACATGCCCTTTGAGTTCAAAAAAAATGGAAGTGGCAGGGAAATTCGAATGGCACCATGTGCAAGGATTCAGAATCTGGAGGAAATGGTTTTTAATCATTTAGAAGTGCACAAAAGGTATAGCCAATTCATAAACTCCTATGAATACAGTACCCAGGGATTGTCCATTTTTCATGGGCATAGGTAGGGGTGGTTGAAAAAAATTATCAAAATTCAAAAAAATGTATATCATGTAATTAGCAATTCATCAAATAAATATTGTTGTTAACAGTTCTGGAAATCTAGTTTGGCATGAAGGACTTATCCCAAGCAATGAAATCTGGATTAAGATAGGAGGGGATAAAGGGGGAGGAAGTTTTAAGATGGTCTTTGCTATTGGAAACCTACAGAACCCCAACTCAACAAGAAACACAATAACATTTTCGATGTTTGAAGCAGGAGATACACCTTACAACTTAGCTCTAGGTCTTCAAGGCTATGACAGCGTGATCGAAAATCTAAATGGACAGAAATGGGGGTATAGTAATTCATACAACTTCTTAGCAATTATTCTTCAATAATTCAACTGAATTAACCCTAACAACAAAAATCCCAGCTTTTTCTATGCTCTGTTCAATAATAACCATGAGCTTGCTTTTTTTTAACTGTGCTATTTGCAGGCTATGTATTCTATTTTTATTGAATTGTGTTTCATGAAATGAATTGAATTAAATTGAACCAATCAAATAACTACATTTATCTTACATGTTACTTTAATTTCAATAGGGATTGGACAATGCGAGTATTCTTATTTGGAGATTATGCTTTCCTCTGTGCCATATATGGCATTTCAGGAGCAAGTGGTATATAATAAATTATGAAATAGAACCTAAAATGAAACACAGTATATTAATTTATTTGTAATACTGCATATCTGGTCACGTTTTGCATGTTCTTTGGTTTTTCCTCCCTTTGTACTCTTAAATCAATCATAACTAATTCAAATTGGTTAGAGCTGTGCTCTGGGGTCACAGATGGACTGTATAGCGGTTGCCAGAGGCACCTTCACAAGCTTTCAGTTTGACCGCCGTTGAGCTGCGCCATTGTTGTAAGCTTGTGGTGGTTATTAGCGATAACAAGTTTTTTCCTTAAAATATCATAATTGCAAAGAAAAAGCATTAATAAATTGATTTTCAAAATTAATTTTAGGAAAGCACTTTTGTCTCTGGTGTTTGATAACTCAGGATGAGGTCTCCATTCCTTTAAGTGAGAGGGGTCTTAAAAGTTCAAGAACCTTACAAGGTACTGAGAAATATTACAGCATGGACAATCGAACCATGACCGCAGGGGCGGATCCGGTGGGGGTGAATTGGGTGAATTTTCACCCCTCTTTTCTGAGCCGATGCACTGACCTCACATTTTTGTCTTTGAAGGGATTATTGATGATAACAGTAAATTTTAAGAAGGAGGGTCTAACCTTAAGAAGGCAAAGCAGTACAACAATGTTATAAGACAGCCTATGTTTAAAATTCCACTTGATCAGGTACAGCATACACATCAAATACTACTTTTTTGACAAGTTAATCATTCATTAATACCTTTTAAAATTGATTTCTCTCTCTTGTAGGTGTGTCCACCAGCTTTACATGTAAGCATTGGTATTTTCAATCGACTTTTTCTGCTGTTAGAGCAATCTCTGAATATACTGGATGTAAAGATTGCAAATTCATTGGCTGGAAAAGAAGAAAAGGTATCATGTCAAGAAATAATTTATCATAATAAAATTACACAAATTTGGAATATATGTTGGTTGCCTCAAAGTTGCTAACCATCTCTATCATAGACAATTTCAGGAAATATTTTAGTTCAATAGTAGTTTTAATTTA